TCCAGTTGTCTTCTGCCGAAGCTCAGACTCTGGCACAGGATCGGGAACGTTGGAAGCTCTGTCTGACGCGGCTGTCTCCGCGACCCAAGAAGAAGCGGCCATGGAAGATGGAGATGAAGATTTGTTCACAAAAGTTCTTTGCTGTCCAATCCAGGAAATACTAAGTGGAAAAAACGAAGCTGTCCCAGCAACCAGTATTCCAATTACAATTGCTAACTAGCTGTGCTGCATAAATTGAGGCATACGGTCAAGAGAATTAAGATTCCCTTTAATGCATTCCTACTTGATTGAGTCCATATTCAAAAGTTGTTTCGAAGTTTTGAATTTTTGACCGTACTTTGTTCAAAGCAATTATTCAGCCTTCCAGGAACTTACCAATTCTAAAGGATTTGGATTTACTTCCGCGGTACTATGTGGTGTTGCATATGGTCTAACAATTACAGACTGCAGAAACAGTTTTTCGTAATAAATTATCATTATAAATGCCTTTAGGTCAATTATTCCATAAATGCAACCGATACATGTACTCATTATCGACGTTAAGCACAATTTTTCAGAAATGTGGCTACCGCAACTGGATTACGCAACAACCTTAATACTGACTACGTACGACTGGCTGATTGTTCTGAAGTCAGGAAGGAAAAGTTATGGCACACTCGATATACTCTGAACTGTCAGGGCTGCAAAGCAATCCGAAAGTCCATCAACAATTGAATAAAGTTCTGTAATAGTATACGTATTAATCTGATTGTTTCACAAATTTATGATTCACAGTTCCAGTAACAATGCTCTCTTTGGCGACTTCCGTTGATTCGGCAATGGATATTGTAAAGCGAAAGAGCTACCGAATGGGGAAACCTGTCGCAAGGTGATGTTCTGTATGAGTACATCGGAGAAGCCTAACCGATGTGAGGATTATGGTGCTTCCCAAACCACCCATATGTGCCTGATATTTGACGTTACAGTTAAGATGCCGTCAAATCCGTTAAAAACGGATAAACTGGAATATGGAAAGCAGGCATCTACGGAATGGTTGCTTCAGTAACCAGGAAATGACTGACAGCGGTAAAAGCAATATCGGTAGCCACGTACTTGTGACAGCTGAAATCCATGGATGCGTAAGTACGCCAAGATGAAACCTTTCATTTGACCAACTTCAACTGCTGCTCAAAGTGTACAAATATCATGCAATAATGCTCTAATCTTGGGTGGATACAAATGATAGCCTCCATCATCCCACCTATGATAGTAATCATACGATCCTTGTGTTAAACTAGTTGGCCTTATAACGTAAGATGATCTGCCAGCAACGTTACTGTAGTCATGTTAACCGACCAATTTCGTTTCAAGAAAACTCTTCTCGGCTAGCATAGTGGCTAAGGACATTTTAATCCATGATTCTAGGCGTGACGTGCAATCTGTTACTTTGAATGTTAAACGCTTTCAACTCATGAACACATAGATTGGTTCTATACATCAGAAATATCGCGTCGAAATGTTGACTATCCTCGCATCTTTCATTTCACGTAAACCGGACTATTGAATAAATGGCTCAATGACTAGGTGGAAACAACGCCGCGCGACGCGATGAACCGACAGTAAAAGCGGGCATTTAATTGCACTGCAGCAAGAGCTGATGATCACTTGAAGGTACTCGCACAAAATAACATTGACGAAAGAAAAACGAAGGATCAGTTCAAGTACCGCTGATCGGATGACTCCTCAAAATGAACCGGAATTAGCCTGGAATAGAGCTACCACGTGAACCGTGTCAAAGAAAGATGGAAAGAGGTACTCCGCGCAGCTACCCTTGTCGGTCTTCATTAGAAAAGATGGCAATTACGTAAAATTGAACTAAATGATACTGTGAGTGACTTTTCTATCGGAAAATGTGCAATTCGCACAAAGCTTGATAAATCAATATGATATCCAAAGAGGGGGTGCTGTTTCGCCTTTGAGAGTTTGTCACTAAAACGAAGAGGCCGTAGTTACGGCTGCGTAATTAAATAAATACGGCATATCGGCCTGATAGGAAAGTTAGGTGGCAGTATGAACTGTTACTCTCAGGGAGCTTTCACAGTACTGATGGCGTTCAGTGCGACGAAGTCCTTTACTGCCTGAGACGACTACCAATCAGCATCTGTTGTAATGTTATTGCCTCGTACATTGAATCGCTCAGGTGCCATCGTATCGAAACAATCCAAACGTCCTCCTGTACACTGTGCGGTAATTTCGCTAATTTTCGCTCACTGAGGATTTGTTGTCATATTCAGCAATACTGCAGGAACCTCCGTAAAGTACGCCATCGACGTTGGCGTGCAATAACCCCTTCTCGCGCGAACGACTATGTTGTTCGAAAGAACATTTCTTGCCATGGATAAACTGCCGTCTGTTTCGAACTCACGGACGACGTTGATTAAACTGGCCTCTCTGTGACCGCAAACCATTGAAAGCACCAAATCAGCAATCTGGCAGAGACAGAAACGTTTCATCATGAGGTACATGCGCATAGTTTCAGACGAACCCGATAATTGGTGCTAGCGCTGGACGTTTGCCAGCCGCTTGCTGTTGTGCTAGGCAACAAGCACCGTAGCGAATGCAACTGTCAAATGTAAAAACCACGTGCACTACACGCCTGGGCGGAGGAAACGTAAAAACAGCTCTGTTTTTCATTCAGTAATTTAGGAGAGGTGCTACTTACGTGATCTGCACAATGGGGCCGTCGTAACCACGCACCGGCGAAGCTACGATGCGAAGGAAGCGCTGTTGCTGCTACCAGCTGCGACGAGTTCTAAACCAACACAAGCCTCCACTCTACACATAACTCGATGTCGCTACGAATCAGAGTGACTGGCGCGCACGCGCGTAGAGCGCAGCAGACAGACGCGTCACACAGCAGACAGCCACACGAAACCACGACGGACACCTCGACGTTCCAGCAGTTCAAGAGAGACGAGAGAAGCAAGGAACGACGAGGAATGAGTGAAGATCGAGGCAATACGCATCCGTTTATCAATCAGCAGTGCATTCAGCGTCGTTTGTTTGAGGAAGCAGCTGCTGCTGACGACCACTGGCACGTCATTCGGTAGAACAGGCTGCGCCGTCTGCCCGTGAACGTTGCGTAGTCACTCCCTCATACGATGGCGGATAAAGTACCAGTGGTGGAACCAACCAGCAGAATGCCACAAGCGCAATTGGCAGCACTACTATTTAAACGGCAAAAACAGCGCTTATGTTGGCAACCTCACTATGATAGTCTTGTTTCAGAGGACGCCGTTACTTGTCTTATTGCCGCTGGCGCCAAAACCTGCCTGTTCTTGCACTAGAATTAACACGACCAGTTTAGACACGGTGAATCAACTCTCATCGATCCTATGCTGACACGTTTCGAAAAAACAGTTATCTGGAAAGAAAGCAGTTATGGAGTCTGAGAGCGCGATGATCTGTACACTCGCCTCATACATAACGGTTCCAAATTCAGAAGCAGGCACGTTTTGCTTATTTGTTGTTAGTTCCCCGACGTATCCAATTTTTCTCGGGTAAGCAGTATATTTGGAAACAATATGGAAGTTATATGACTCTTTCCGTGACCTGTTCCCTAATCTTGAATTTTTTATTTGAAACTCGTTGCTTGAACAAGATGATCACGGAATCCCGTTTTTCCGAGTAGATAAAAGTGAACCATGTACTGATCAAATGCCATTGAAACTGAAATAAATAAATGAACAAGTACGTGAACAACGCCACAATTCAACTGAAGAACCAGAGTTTGATGACGTGCTAAAAGTAAAGTGTATTTATTGTTCCTTTCATAGAAAGGTTCTGATCAGCTCTAATCGATAACTGAACTGCTATGTGGAATCCAAAATTTGCAGTACGTCGGATGACCCGGAACAGCAACCAAATACTGGTGACATCAGTAGTGAAAACGTACCTCTCACCCGGACTTAGTGCAAGAGATGACTTTAGAGGTTAGACAGATAGTAGTTCAAAGACCAAATGTTCTAACTTCATTACACTGTCAAACTTTGTCAGTTTTCGACTGTCCTTCTTGCAATAAAGTTTTCGTCCCTAGTAGCGCGGACGTCGCACTCTCCTCTCTATTCATATACACCAAGCACCAAGGTGTAGCTCACTTCCTGTCTCTTTTCTTCAGAAAGAACAAGCGACGATAATCCTGCATACCTGATATTGTAGAGTCTATCTTACGCATCGAGAAAAATGCAAGAAAAGACAAGATTATAGCCAATGAGACATCAGTCTTTTAAACTCTTATATTAAATGTTACTCATTTGCATCACCCTGTTTCTTTAGGTTTTATGGGGCGGCAGCGACCGCAACTTTGATATCATCAGCGGAATGTTTTTATCCATGAATGCAATGCATGTAACAATATGATTAGAACAATGTGATTCCTTGTGATACCTACCTACTCATGTGTAAACAATGAACGATGTGTGTCTGCCTGATTTTTAATCATCTGATCGACGAGTCGGCATTCAATCGATTCAATTTCGAAACTACTTGGAAAAAAAGCATTTTCCACACACTGCTTAGTAATTTTACATATTCAGAAAGAAAGAGAAACCTTCAGGGTTACAGGCAAAAATGTCAGAACGTCTATATCTGAAATTTTGGGACATGATTTTATATTCGGCAGTGTCAAGTTTGGAAAAACATCATTTGATCGAGTAATTATTGAGAGAGTTTCTCCTGACAAACCAGTGAAACATTTTTTTGCCGGAATTGTCCAGAAATCTCTCAAAATATTGATCAATCGCTCGCTAAGCGTACAAAGTAGTACCTTTGTTTGGAGCCGTTTTAATTTAATGACTATAATCATTAAGCAGTGCTAATCGCACGGTTTCCAAAAGACGACGCTTTTCCTTAAAATTCTCAAAGGTTGATCTCATAACTTCCTTCGATTCGAATTTTTTATCCACTGACACATATAAGGCAATGATCAGAAACGATTTGTGAGAAGTCAAAATCATCTATATTGATGTAAAATTAACTTTCACCTTTCATTTCGATAAGCTCGGAAAAATTGTCATGCGTTTTAATGCTGAATCAAGTTTTCTTTAGAATGGCAGTGTTAAATGGCGTAATTGCTGGCAAGTAGAAAAACCGGCAATTCTAACCAGAACAACAAATCAGAACCTTTGTCCACTTGACAGCCTTTGCACTATTAAAGCAAATTCAGATCATTTTAAGCTCTTCCGATTTGTTTATACGTCTCGCGACCAGTTCAGTCGAGTTGATCGATATTATGGATATTATCGAGTTGATTAATATTATGGACATGTTTGTTGTGAATATTGTTTGTTTGCAGTAATGATTATCCTGAGCTGTTTGCATGAGCAAATTCTCTCCATTACATGCTGCACAGAAATGAACCAACGATTTATCCTCAGGAACACGCGGAGACCCACAAGGCTAGAGCGTAATCGACTTTGGCCTGACCAACGGAATGACCGCCCATCCTGCAGATCAAGCGTCTCCTTCCCAGGTAGGCGAGCTTCTGTGACAGCCAGTACGTCGAGCCTTTACCGGCTGGCTGTACTGTAGACATCGTCTGACCTGTATTCGCCAGACAAGAAAGGAATGCTTCAACAGGCAACACGAAACTTACCTCTGATAATGCTGATCGTCCATTCCGGCTATTTCTTTGTTTCTGTCAATGAAGTTTCGAGCTGCAACCATCTGTGGAACTCATTTCCGCGAGAGTAATAAATTTCGCCACAACTCGCAAGGAATCAACCAGATAACGGGGCATGCTTTACTTCGAAAACATATCCGTTGCGGATGTCTCAAATCCAACTTCAATTTACTGTGCTTTGAGGGTCTAAAGAATCTTGGCAAACCATTTTGAATGATCAGTGACGTTGAATGGGAAAAATATAAGTCCAAACTTTGCATAGATGACATACCGAATATACTCTTTAGGTAACATCTACATAGTCTCGTTTTAAAAGTCAGCTATGTGGTTGCCATTTGTATAGTTAAATCCTGAATCATAGGTGAAACTCAACACTGTTGAAAAATTGATGAATCATAGAAATGAATCGTGGACCATCACTGAAAAACTTCGAACCCGGGTACAAGCTGCTGAAATGGGCTTTCTTAGAC